TTAACTCTTGTTTTAGGTCAAACTTTGGGACAACAAAAAAATGCCATTGAGTATGAAACGCTGTTTCCCAATGCATGACTAACATGTAGAATATCCAACCCTCTATCTTTTTATGCATTTAAACGGTACTAGAGTACCGTTTTCCAATACGAATGAATTAAATTCAATCATCAAACAAGACTAACCATTAAAAAGAGAATTGCTGTATATTTATAGTTTGCCTAATCTAAGCCATAAAAATCAAATTAAAGAACCATCTAATGAATTATGAATATATAGTTATTTGACCGAGTAAAATTGTTAAGTTATAGTTATTGACCAAGAAAGTCGGCACGGCTCGGGTGACGCTACTTGACCCGAACGACGTCGGAGTTCGCGTTAATGGGTCATCCCGACCGTGCAGATTTAATGATATACCGGTATATCGATTTGATTGGTCAATAACTTTTTAACACACAACGCTATCAATTTACATGAACGTTTTGGAAATATTCGGACGATATTTAATCCACGGCTCCTGGGAAAGTTATCCTCTAGGGTAAAGAAAGGGGGAAATACGCATTTAAGTAGTTAAAAGGTTGGTAATTTTTAAATTATAACTTTTTTGATAATCATGCTTTCTCCTGAATTGTTACAGTATTTGGAAAATTATGTTTTAATGGCAGATCTTTGATTTTTTCTATTAGATTTATTTACAATTTTTATATAAATTCGTGACGATCAAGTCAAATCAAATAAGTTTTCTTTTAAGCCGGCAAGATAAATAACAACACAACATAAGCTCTGAGTGAGCTTTATAAACGATTTAGAACTTGACATATTGTTTTGACACATGTCTATTGTTGAACACTATATGTTGCCCTCTAGATGTGCTTATGTGTTTTTTGTCGTTTAATTGCTGTCTTATTGGCGTATAACCCACATCTCCTACAGTTTTAGTTCCCTTTTATGTACTTTTAAATCGGTGTATGACAAATCATAAATGAAAGGGTTATTGAGTATAGATTAATTGCTTTTCTTTCCCACAAGAATATGCTGAGATCGTCATAAGTATACAAGTATGGACCCTTGTATAATGTACATAAAAATTTAACTGTTCATGTAAAATCCAGCGCTGGAGATGTAAAATCCATCGCTGTATATATATACATTGTGTATGGATTTTAACTAGCTTTCAGTAACTGCGAGTACTCTCAAATCGTACTTTCGGGTTAATTTGACCTGTTACACAATTTGTAATGCATTTTTGTTATTCAATGTTTACTTATTTTGTGTTACCATTTTTAATATGTACTTGCTTGATAAGTATTCAGTATGACGATAAATTTTCACTGCTGTTCTCGTACTATGAACAACATTTTTATTTATTTTGTAAAAAATATCTCCGTACTCCTAACAACAAAATAATTATATTTAGATTTACCTCTGTACGTTATTTTATCTAACACCATTTTGTCCAAGGTTATAGTTGTCTTTTTTACATTGTGTCATAGATCAAATTTATTCGTTCAGTGTGTGTTTACTTGTTTTTGTTAATATGTCTTTTTGATTGAGTTAAGCCATTTCAATTGATATTTAAGTGTGTGTCTTTCTATGTTCTAATGTTACACTACTATTTCAGGTTAGGGTGAAGGTTGGCGCCTGTTAAAACGTTTAACCCCTGCATTTGTTTTCACCTGTCTTAAGTCAGGAACCTGTTTCAGTGGTTGTCGTTTGTTGATGTGGTTCTTAAGTATTTCTCGTTTCTCATTTTTTATATAGATTAGACCGTTGGTTTTCCTGTTTGAATTGTTTTACACTAGTCATTTTATGGCCCTTTATAGCTTGCTGTTCGGTGTGAGCCAAGTCTTCGTGTTGAAGGCCGTACTTTGACCTATAATTGTTTACTTTTTACACATTGTGACTTGGATGGAGAGTTGTCTCATTGGCACTCATACCAAAAGTATAAACATCTTCATTTCATCGATAGAAATAAAAACGAAATACAGATCTGCATTAACTTACGAAAAGTCCTTGAAATAATACACCAAGTTCTTCCTGTGTCTGCAATTATGGATTACGTATCTTAAATGGTTCTTTCGTATAACGATAATAAAAACTGAATTGAACAATTAATTGCTTTAAGGAAATTTTCATTGAATGACAAGTTGTTGCATTTTCTAGTCCTTGTGTAAGGCATTGTTCTGAGAAAAAAGTGACATATTCAACATGTATCTTCTTGTGTTTATTATCCATGCAATCATGTTTCCTGTAAACTTTTGAATGAATACTTAAACTAATATTATTGTAATATACATAAACATATGCACATTCAAGATTCTACAATCTGTCGATATCTGTATTTTGGCATTGCACAAGGTCATGTTTTTCTCTGACTGTTAATGACGTCTTAACACTAAATCCATTAGATGTTGGATGTGTACAGATTAATATTTTAGTCGTAGATACATGATTTTTGTATTAGTTGTTATTAGCTTTGAAGTAGCTGTCGGTAACTGCGAGTACTCTCAGATCTGTATTTCATATCTTTTTTGTTGTGGGGTTGTATTTAAATACCCTACCAAGTCCGGTCTGTGTTTTTTGTTACTTGTTTTTCTGCTTTGTATCGATCTGATGAGTTAAGCCCTCTTCAACTGGTTTTCATACTTTGTTAATATTCTGTGCTGTTACACCACTGTCCCAGGTTAGGGGAGGGTTGGGCTCCCGCAAACATGTTTAAACACCCCCACATTCTTTATGTGCCTGTCCCAAGTCAGGAGCTTGTAATTCAGTGGTTGTCGTTTGTTGCTGTATATCATATTTGTTTTTCGTTCATTGTTTTGTACATAAATTAAATCAGGTCGTTAGTTTTCCCGTTTGATTTGTTTTACATTTGTCATTTCGGGGCATTTTATAATTGACTATGCGGTATGGATTTTGCTCATTGTTGAAGGCCGTACGGTGACCAGAAGTTGTTAACTTCTATGTCATTTTGTCTCTGTTGGATAGTTGTCTCATTGGCAATCTACCACATCTTCTTATTTTTATATTTCCAATGAAAAATGGTAATATGTTCTTCTTTTTTTAATATGGATATTAATGTTTGTATACGACTGCTGACCTCATGAAATTCTTTGATTTTAGTTGTTGTACAATTCAGATTGCTATAAAGAGCCGTATGAAATATGTAAGGTATCATAAGGTTCCCACCTAACAGTTGAAATAAACACGTCATTCTAAAATTTCCTCGTGTCTTGAAATTAAAGATTTCCTAAAACTTTCTCAATACCTATAATGGAGATTACTCGGACTACCTTGAATCAACACTTGTAAGTTTAGTATGTTATGATGGGCAACTCTTATTAAATTTTTAGGCCAAGTTTTATTTATTTTTTGCATTTAGTTTCATATTGGAATTATCTAAATTAAATACATAATGTTTAACGTGCAATAGATTTTACGATCAAAACCACTTTTAAACAGCTTAGTATTTTCTTTCAGCCATTTTTTTTATGATTTGTGAGTTTGTTTTGTTTTGTTTTTATTATTAATTTAAATCTATTTAGGGAAGGGGGTAAAATAGTATTAGTTTCAATCTTTCTCTGCAGGTTAAGAAGCCTTGCAACAACTCTTTCAGGGGTCCGTAGGTAGCCTGTTGCAAGGCAACATTTCTGTCCCTATCCAATTTACACTCATTTTCCAGTGGCAGTCTCCCGACCTTCATCCCGAACGGCCTCTATTTCAGGACCTACCTATTATATTTATTGTTAATTTATTCTCGTCCTGCACATGCATGAAATATTTGCCGCTGGACGTTTAGCAACCAACATTTAACTATCTAAAATTGTCCGTTTATAAATTTCAAAAAATTTGCAAAGTTGAACCTTAGATGGTTTTGGCTATTTTTAGGTCTTTTTGGTCATATAGCTCTTCAAAAAAGTTCTTGTACACCTGTGGTTTTCACAATTTCGGCTTTGATCGTTCCGGATGAAGGTACATCTAGAAGAGCGCTTCGAACGCATGAAATTTATAAAGTGTTGCATTATTTTTTTATTAGATATCCCATTCATTTCAAATCTTATTGTGAATTGGAAATAGAACATGGGCGGATTAAGTGTGTGTGTTTTTTGTTATCTTATTGTAATTTTTTGGTGGAGAGGCCTCTTTTAGTAGAATATTTGTGTTTATATTAAGTTTTTATGTTCCTTATTTTTCTTAAAAATCATATTCTTAAAACTCAGGGGGTTGCAACAGTAATATATATCAATCATAAAATATTATTGACTGTATAAACAAAGGTAGCATAAATGAAATTGAAAAGATTATGAGTCCCCTGTACTCGGTTCTAAAAACTGTTTTAAAAAGGACCCAGTGATTTCTCAAATATTGCAAGGTTATTGTAAAATGTTTTCAGGACAGAAAATAAGCAGGAATTCGAAAATGGTTAAATTTGATCAAAATTGTAATACGTTTTTGTGACTTATTTGGAATATATTATTGTTCTTCACTAATTTACAGTTATAAACTAGGAAAAATCAGTTTTAAATACAAAGAATGTCTTCTTTCTTATTCCTATTTTCTTTGAAAAACCCTGACCGTTTGTTAAAAAACCTGGACGTTGTAAATGTTGCACTGGAAAAAATTTTGAGTGAAATTCAAGGAAATTGTGCTTAGTTTGGGCTCAAAATATGAAAAGTATTCAGAATAAGACGAACAGTCATGAATAAATCTATTATACTTGCGAAATAGCAGTAAATCGGTCTGATCGCGTGTAATATCACTCGAAAAAACCTGATCTCAGTCGGACACTATACATACCGTGATATTTAAAAAGCAGCGAACGCTAACAATGAATATAATTTTAAATTCAGAAAAAAAACCCCAACACTGAATAGATTACATGAACTTTAATCCTCTTTTCTTTTTACTCTTAAAAATGTAGGACAGTAACCGCAGTTTTATTGACCTTTTGTAGCAATATCCGTTTATAATATAAATAATTATTTAATTGTTCATAATGATCGAGATAACAAAAAATCTTAAATTTTGTCTTGGATTTCTGATAGCAGGATTCCTGATTCACTTTGCTGCTGTCGCTATGCCTTTTTGGAATTTCTTTGAGGAAAACGACTTGATGGGGACAAAGTCTTTTAGACTAATAAGTATAGGTCTATGGCAAGCTTGTTTTAAAATGGGAGGCAAGTACTGGTGTCAAGGATACACAGGTAAACACTTCCTTTGTTTTAGAAAAAATCGGGTAAAACACCATGCACGAAAGTTTTCTAATTTATTTGGACTAAAACATAGTTGTGTCGTATTTTCTGTTTTGTTCGGTAATTGTCTCATTAACATACATGTATATACGTTTGTACATACACTTTTCCTTTCATTTCTTATACTTTTGATAATGCTATCAGAATAAATGTTAGAATGTAAATCCATATAATGATTTTTTTTGGGTAGAAATACTACCTTTGCGATGAAATAGGCTTAATAAACGTATTGGTAAGCACTATGATATGACATACGACAACTATTGACGATGTCCTTAACTTTGGAAAGGCACATAAGCATGTGGTGGAGTACCTCAACCCTTCCCCTTTTTAATCTCGATCAGTAGATTATCAAAACGTACAATAATAAAATCCAGTACATGTTAAATGTTGAATGATTGCTGTCTAATTGAACAAATACCAACCTTTCTTTTATTCTATAGCCATGTCTACAGTTATAGATGTAAGCAAAAACCAATAAGAGCATATTTAGTGATAAATCAAAAATTAGAACAATTGAATAGTTGATGAATTGTAAACGAAAAAGAGATGACCGTCCGATTAATGTCATCTCAGGTTCTGAAAAAAAAAATGTATGCCATAAAGAAAAGAGTTCATGACACACAATAACATAGGTGCGCTAATTGGATTAATGTGAAATGGAATGTGTGCTTTCCTGCAAAAAAGAAATAGGAAATTTCATCATAATCACATGATAATGGCTATAAACAAAATGGAGTTCTATTATAGATGCAGAAAAACACAATTGTATAAATGCAACAACATATTATATATATTCGTCAAAAGAAGGGAGAAATGAAGAAAAAAATAGTATTTTGTTGTTGAAAGGAACACCAGCTTTATCCACTCATTTACATCGCTCCCTCATATCAAATATACTGAAGAAGATCTTCGAAGAACAAATTGCAAAAATGTTTTCTCTAAGAATTGAAGGAAATTGTTTAGTGAATGGAATAATTTATGTTATGAACTTTTACGTAGTGAATTGAATAACTGTAAACAGCAGCTGAAACAGAGGAAAATTAAAATTTACAAGAAAAGTGTTTATTTTATTATTTAATTTGCAAATATGAACCCATTCTTAAGAACTCCACAAGTGGTATGACATTCAAATTGGTTGCTTATTAATGTATACAATTGAAACAATAACAAAGAAAACAGAATACTTTGCTACAAAAATATTTTAAAAATCAAAGTTAAAGTCATATAAAGTATGTACAATACCTTGACCTAAACAGTCAGACTCACTATATTGTTTTTGTATGTCATGATAATTTTGAGTCAAAAATTTATTAAAGTTTAAATATCATTTGTATCATTTATTAAGTCTTGTAAACATTATGTTCATACTGTTTGTATAGTGAAGAAATTTACAATGAGTAAAAATAGGGGAAAGCATTTCCTACAGGGAAAGTTGATGTACAGAAATTTCCTTAGAGGAAATTCGGAGAACAATGTTTTCCTTAGAGGAAATTTGTGGTATTGAATTTTCCCTCAAGGAAAAGTGTTTGTTAAATATTTCCTCAAAGGAAATTGCAGTTGACAAAATTTCCTCACAGGAAAAAGTATTTCCTCCAAGGAAAATTTGAAGCTGCAAATTTCCTCAGAGGAAAATTTGAAGCCTCAAATTTCCTCAGAGGAAATAAAATTTCCTCACAGGAAATAGAATTTCCTCAAAGGAAGCAAATTCCCTAAGGGAAATCTTTTTCCCTTGAGGAAAATACAATTTCCCTTAAGGAAAAATCTTTTTCCTTTAGGGAAATTTGATTTCCCTTGAGGAAAACTACTTTTCCTCGGAGGAAATTGTTGAAAAAAGGGGCATAACTTTTTCAACAGTGGTGCTAGAGCCAAATTTTTTTAGGACAAATATCAGGGAACCAATACCAACCAAGTTATCAACTTCATTTTGACTTAACTCCAAAAATTAAAGTGACAACTTTTGCACTCAGCGGAAGTGCAAACTTGTCCCGGAGACTGTTCTATGATTATCCAGGATTTCCTCTTTAGTAAGTGTCGTGGGGGAATATGTTGAGTTTCCAAGTGAATTGTCAATTATACTCAATTCATTTATCAAGTAGTTTTTGTAATGTGATTTAAGAGTGATTTAAATTAGCAATGTAAAATAAACGTCTCGTGTATTTTAAAATTTCAAATTGCACAATGCAGGCCGTGACTCACCGATCAATATTAGAAAAAGGACAATAGAAGAATATTGCAACACTGCTAAAAAAAACTTCATCAATTTTTAAATTACTTTGGCATTTAAAACGAAAATTCAATCAAATATTTTAAATGAAACAATAGTGTTAACATGTACTTTGAGCTTTTTGAAAATCAGGTACGGAAAGAACCTAATTGACATTAAATGACCGACAAATTTAAATAGTAATAACACGTAAAATGTATCGAATACATATTAAGTTAGATATGCATATCTAGACTTACAGTCGTAAGAGGCGCCCTTATTAAAGCCAAAAAAGGCGAAAAGACAAGGATCTATAAACATGTAGTGCCATGTAACTAAATGTTACATATATGTACCTTAAGAGATTAGCAGAAACGGCTTCATGTCAAATTTGACTGAGGACATGCAGTCTGAATTTTGACCAAAGTGAGAAAAAAACTGCTTCCTGAAAAACTATCGAACGTTGGATATACAAATTACGATTAATTCCAAAACATTGACAACTAGACGATTTATACACTTGATAACAATTGTACAACTTGTACAATTAGGTTCTAAGAATAAAGATTTTCTAAATATCAAATATTACGATATTACGAATACCAATTATATAAATGTGGTTTGATTGACATTCATGTATACTTTCTAATTTTGAATGTATTCTGATATGGAAAATATACAAATGCAGTTGAGACTAAAACCTAAATGATGCGCTTATCTAAACATATACCGCTTTCCTAAACATTTTTAACCCAAGACCTGCATAAAATTCTAACCACAATTCTAGAGTGGACAGCACACTGAGAAAAACAAAAACAGTCAACTGGACTGTCATTTGCTCAACCGCTAATCTAAAACACAATAAACACTCAATAGATACGATAGGTGAACTTGGATTGCTAGTTAAATAGTGGGAAAACACGGTTTATTAATAAGTTCAAAATATTGAAATTGGCTTTTATATATCTTTCAGTAACTGCAAGTAATCCTAAATCGTCTTTGCCTAGTACCGGTGTGAGGAGTCAAGCCATTTTCAACTGATAGGTACAAGTTTGTTCTTTATTGTGCTGTTACATCACTGTTTTCAGTTTGTGATAGGACTTAAACACTCACAAACAGGTTCAATTTTGCTACATTCTTTGATTGCCTGTCCTAAAGTATATAGTAGCTTGTCATCTAGTGATTATCGTTGGTTGCTGGCTGCCGTAATTGTTTTACATCTCGTTATACCGGGGCCTTGAATAGCTTACTAATCCGTATGGTTTATGCTGTAACGTCTTGACAGCGGATACAAAGCACTTTATTGAAATAACTCGTTGTTGAAGGCACTCAATGACCTGTAGCTGTTTTATTACATCTCTGTCCTTTTGGTCTCTGGTCAATTTGTTATAGTTGGCAGATATGCCACATATCCTTATTCTCATACTGATTATTCATTTCCCAACACTGACTTGCTAAAATTCGTTTCAGCGCTGTTTTATGCAGTTTCCGCGCTATGCTAGTCCGAAGGTCGTGTCAAAAGCTTTTTTTTTCTATCTTATGTTTAACTCTTGTTTTAGGTCAAACTTTGGGACAACAAAAAAATGCCATTGAGTATGAAACGCTGTTTCCCAATGCATGACTAACATGTAGAATATCCAACCCTCTATCTTTTTATGCATTTAAACGGTACTAGAGTACCGTTTTCCAATACGAATGAATTAAATTCAATCATCAAACAAGACTAACCATTAAAAAGAGAATTGCTGTATATTTATAGTTTGCCTAATCTAAGCCATAAAAATCAAATTAAAGAACCATCTAATGAATTATGAATATATAGTTATTTGACCGAGTAAAATTGTTAAGTTATAGTTATTGACCAAGAAAGTCGGCACTGCTCGGGTGACGCTACTTGACCCGAACGACGTCGGAGTTCGCGTTAATGGGTCATCCCGACCGTGCAGATTTAATGATATACCGGTATATCGATTTGATTGGTCAATAACTTTTTAACACATAACGCTATCAATTTACATGAACGTTTTGGAAATATTCGGACGATATTTAATCCACGGCTCCTGGGAAAGTTATCTTCTAGGGTAAAGAAAGGGGGAAATACGCATTTAAGTAGTTAAAAGGTTGGTAATTTTTAAATTATAACTTTTTTGATAATCATGCTTTCTCCTGAATTGTTACAGTATTTGGAAAATTATGTTTTAATGGCAGAGCTTTGATTTTTTCTATTAGATTTATTTACAATTTTTATATAAATTCGTGACGATCAAGTCAAATCAAATAAGTTTTCTTTTAAGCCGGCAAGATAAATAACAACACAACATAAGCTCTGACTGAGCTTTATAAACGATTTAGAACTTGACATATTGTTTTGACACATGTCTATTGTTGAACACTATATGTTGCGCTCTAGATGTGCTTATGTGTTTTTTGTCGTTTAATTGCTGTCTTATTGGCGTATAACCCACATCTCCTACAGTTTTAGTTCCCTTTTATGTACTTTTAAATCGGTGTATGACAAATCATAAATGAAAGGGTTATTGAGTATAGATTAATTGCTTTTCTTTCCCACAAGAATATGCTGAGATCGTCATAAGTATACAAGTATGGACCCTTGTATAATGTACATAAAAATTTAACTGTTCATGTAAAATCCAGCGCTGGAGATGTAAAATCCATCGCTGTATATATATACATTGTGTATGGATTTTAACTAGCTTTCAGTAACTGCGAGTACTCTCAAATCGTA